CAACTGTTTATGTGTGTGTGTGTGAGAGTGCTTTGCTCTGGGACTTGCCATAAACGTGGGAGGGTTTGGGCGAAAGTTGGAGCAATAAAAGGGCATTTTGAACTATCAGCTAGCTGTGTTGCCTCTGTGGCTTGTCCCAGGTTATCACACCTGTAGAATATAACTCCCAATATACATGCCAGTTGCCCAGCATCCGAATTTTTATCACGTGACTGTGGAAAATGGCACAACGGTTGTAAGTGTGAAAAATGGTCACAAGTCACTTTTTTTAAGTGCTGTTTTTGAATGGCCACTAAATGAACAGTACCTGCACCATGCTACTCTATACCTGTACAAAGAGAGGGAGGGGGATTCTTAGACTGAAGACACAAAACAGGCTGAAACTTTCATGCAAAATCGAATGTGGGTCGCTTGGAGGTGGGAGATACTTTCAATGTAATCTACTGGATCCCCTGCGTGGATTCCCTCCGTGACTCTGCAGGACAAACAGAGAGGAAGCTAACCCATCAGATTGCAAGAACACAAGCGAGCGGTCAGACGAGGAGATCCAAACGCATTGGTAGCCTCACATTGCATACATTCAATTTTGCAGCTACTAAGATTGTTGGCCGAGCAGGGACAAAAATAGCCAGGGAAGCAATTGAAGCCTGGGAAACAGGCCTCTTGTCAGTTAACAGGAGTGCTGATTTACCTCCAGCTTATCAGGTGCAGGAGCCATGGGCTTGGCAGCACAACAACAGCCAATCTCTAGCAATCAACATGCCAATCAGCCAATAGGAAAGCACCACATAAACATACTTCACAGAACAGCCCAAGGAACATATTCTAGTGGAGAAATTCCCTATGAAGATGGGCTCCATAATGAGTCCGAAAGCTCAGTAGACCAGTGACCAACCCAAATTCGATTTCACATAATCATCCTGGGACAAATATATTTGCCTTCATTCGTGAAACTTTCCTCGCTTGAAAATAATTTTCTGAACAGAACTGCAGAGTTGGAAGGGACCTTTGAGGTCTTCTAGTCCAACCCACAGCGAAAGCAGAAGACCCTACCCCATTTCAGAGAAGTGGCTGTCCAGTCTCTTCTTCAAAACCTCTGATGTTGGAGCACCCACAACTTCTGGTGGCAAGCTGTTCCACTGGTTAATTGTTCTCACTGTCAGAAATTTTCTCCTTAGTTCTAGGTTGCTTCTCTCCTTGGTTAGTTCCCATCCACTGTTTCTTGTCAAACCCCAGGAGCAGAAATGGCACAGTGTGAAGGGCAACATTTGAAAGCAGCTTCTCTTGGGACTGTTTTCACACACACACACACACACACACACAGACACACAAACACCCTGAGCTGAGGAAAGAAAGGAATGTGAAGATGGATGAAAAGGAAAATAAGATGAAAAATCGATGCACTTCTCCAAGATCTACAGCCAGGACCCGGCTGCAAATGCACCTAAAGATTTATTCAGCCATGCTAACATACATTTTCCAAGACAAAATCCAATACCTACTTTGACACTTTTCTGCACCCCAGCAGGAGGCAAAATTAGAAAATGGTGGTTGTTTTTTTGGGATGTTTTTTGGGATGTAACCTGGCCTTACGTGCCCCAGAACTTGGGAGAATACACGTTGATGGGAATTCACAAATTGTTATTTTGTTATCCAAAAGTAGCTTTTGGAATTTGTGCAGGCATGTACTTTCTATCACTAATTATACTTTGCCCACATGCAGATGTGTGATCTGGCACAGATGCAAAGCTTAGGTATGTGACAACACAGGTAGTCCTTGATTTATGACTGGTTGCTTAGCAATAGCAACAGCAGTTAGACTTATATACCGCTTCACAATGCTTTACAGCCCCTTTCTAAGTGGTTTAGTCAGCCTATTGCCCCCAATAATGTGGGTCCTCATTCTGCCCACCTCGGAAGGATGGAAGACTGAGTCAACTCTGACTCACAGATTAAGAGAGTTGGAAGGGACCTTGAAGGTCATCTAGTCCAACCCCCTGCCCAAGCAGGAGAACCTACACCATTTCTGACAGGTGGCAGTCCAGTCTCTTCTTGAATGCCTCCAGTGATGAAGCTCCTACAGCTTCCGAGGGCACCTTCTGTTCCATGGGTTGACTGTTCTTCCTGTCAGAAAATTTCTCCTTATTTCCAGGTTGAATCTCTCTTTGATCACTTTCCATCCATTATTCCTTGTCTGGCCTTCAGGTGCTTTAGAAAATAGCTTGACCCCTTCCTCCTCTCTGTGGCAGCCCCTCAAATATTGGAAGACTGCTATCATGTCTCCCCTGGTCCTTCTCTTTACTAGACTAGCCAAGCCCAGTTCCTGCAACCATTCGCTGTATGTTTTAGCCTCCAGTCCCCTAATCATCCTGGTTGCTCTTCTCTGCACTTTTTCTAAAGTCTCAACATCTTTTTTATAATGTGGTGACCAAAACTGGATGCAGTTTAGTCTAGGTGTGGTGTTACTAAGGCTTTATAGAGTGGTATTAGTACCTCCCTTGATCTCAATTGTATCCCTCTGTTAATGCAATTTAGGATTGCATTAGTTTTTTTGTCTGTCACTGCACATTGGTGGCTCATATTTAGCTGGTTGTCCACTAAGACTCCAAGATCCCTCTCCCAGTTACTGCTATTGAGCCTGGTTTCACCCAGTCTATATGTGTCCTTCTGGTCTTTCTTGCCTAAGTGTAGGACTTTACTTTACATGACTTACAATCATAATGGCCAGCTTCCATTATGGTCATATGATGAGGACTAGCTATATTGATATCTTTTGCATCAAAACACCAAAACAATGCTAATCTTATGGGTAAAAAACAACAGCCGCAAGTAATGTTGCTAATCTTTTATGTTTAAAAAATAAAATAAAACTCATACACTGGTGGAAAAGCTAAGATCCTGAGTCAATTTGAAATATAAAAATTTTCTCTAATTCATTTGTAATTTTAGCTTAAATATTTTGTCATTGAATTTACTAATTCGAGATTAAGTTATTTCCCCTCCGAATACACTTTCATTTGTAAATTGCCCAGCTTAGGCAGCGAGATGGGCAGTATCTAAATTTCATAAAAAATATAATAAAAAAAATATATTCCTTGACAAACTATTTCATCAACTCTGTAATCCTTACAATGTATGTGCTCAGTTCTCATTCTTAATTATTATTTTAAATAGCTAATATGGAAGATTCTCTTAAGTATTAGCTGAAACAATACTTAATTTTTAAGCTCAATAAACATATAGAAAAGTGTTTATCATTCAAAGCATATGCACATATGGCATTAAGTCCACACAAACACGAACATATAAGACTATATATTTTATTAGCTACATTTGTGTGTGTGTTTGCCTGCATTTGTGAGTGATGGTTCAAAGACAACCAATATAGCATGTTGTATTATTACATACATGGGCACATGTTACTTATACAAAATAACCTTCACTGGAAGACTGATCACAGCATGCTAATACATCCACTTTATGGGGGTTTAATTTCCAATGATCTTTCTGAATAAAAACAAGTGAATTGGACTTCTGTCTGTTAGATTTATCCTGCACCTAACTTTTTCAAGGGAGGAGAAGACATTTGGCCTCTTCAAATCCCTACCAGCAAAAATAATTAAATATATTAATAGCTCTGGACCAGTACAAAAATTCACAAGTATTTATCAGTTAGAATGCAGGGGTCTCCAACCTTGGCAACTTTTAAGACTTGTGGGCTTCCAACTCCCAGAATGGAATTCTGGGAGTTGAAGTCCCAAGTTAGACAGGTAAGCACAGGCAGGAACTACTTTCTCGAGCCCTCGAACAGCCTCTGTTCCAAAGATGGATGTGAAAAGCATTTCAGATTTTTTTTTAAGGGTGGGTTTCGATTCAAAACACGGTCTCAAGTTAGGGGAGATTTTGACCTTAGAACACACTGATTTAGCTTCCAAATATTTCACCCAACATTTTTGGGAGGGTGGGATGATAGAGCTTACAGTGCTGTTCTTAGAGACAGCCCGAAGTTCAGGTCTTGGACTTTCAAACTGCAGGAAAGGCACAGCTGAACAATGGAGGTGGGATGTTTAAGAATCAAACCGAAAGGGCTTAAACTGTTGCCCTGGAGCACTCACCGAGAATGGCAGCTTTTTCTTCATAAGGAACACGTGTGTACACACACACACACACACACACACACACACACACACACAAACAGAAAGAGAGTCTTTGTTTTTCTAAAAGGTTTAAATCCAATTTTATTACACGACCTTTGGGGGCCATTCACTTATGCCACATGTCACCAAGATTTTCTCAGGAAACTTAAAAGGTGGCCATTTTTTATCAAGTAAGTTGCTTTGGCATCCATCCACGTTTTCTTGAAAATAAGACCCTGTCTTATATTTTTTTTGCCACCAAAAAAGGCACCAGGTCTTATTTTCGGGGGATGTCATCCACTGACTGACCTCCCTTGACTGTAAACGCACTAATCCTAATAGTGATTTAGTCAACGTGACGGTTTACATTGATGGGTGTTTTTGCTTTTTTAACTGGAGTGCAAATTGCAGACAGTTCTTACTGCACAACCCATTGAAGTTGCAATGGCCTTGGAAAGCGTTGCCCCTGGCCTCCTTTTCGCTGTCAGAGGCCTCCAGAAACTTCTTCTGCAGGCCGGCAAGTCTTTCCTGAAGGCCTCTGCAGCCAATAACAGAACCCCGAATCGATCTGGAGCTTTGTCATCAGCTACAGAGGCCTTCAGGAAAGCCTTGCCGGCCTGCAGAAGAAATGGGCCAGCAAGGCAGATGTCGGGGTGCGCGAGGCCTGGCTACAACTCTCCAAAGGTAAGTAGTAAGGCAGCTCCACCCCTCCCCCATCCCCACCCTAGCTTAATTTTTACCTGTGCACTCTGGAGTGGGCAGGATCTTAATTAGGGCTTATTTTGGGGGGGGTTAGGGCTTATATTGGGTGCACATGTAAAAATCAAGCTAGGACTTACTTTCAAGGTAGGTTGTATTTTGGGAGAAATGGGGTATATGCAGTGACAGTGGTGACCTTTGGCAATAGTGCTGCCCTGCCAGAATGACGAGGAAAGGCCAAGCTGACTTCGTGCTCATTGCGTCCTTGAAGGTCCCGCAGGAAACAGCCTGATGGAATTGACATCTTGAGGGAAGTTAAGAAAAAGAGCGGGGGAAGGGGAGAGTAGGACAAAAACGTTGTCCTGTGTCCCAGTGACAGACCCTGGATGGCAGCTTCCTTAAGGTTCTTCTCCATCAAATGGATGGCTGCCATCTTGGCTCCCCTTAGCGAGGCCTACGGGGTGGTGGGACTGTCCAAACATGAGAACGTCTCCCACATTCCAGAACCTCCCAAGGTGTCCTATGGACCGCTAGGTTTGGTGTCCTTCTTTCAGGTGGGTCTGCTTGCCAAACAGTGACCGATACAGTTCTGTCCTGGAAGGGGGAGAGATAGGAGGCAGATTAAAAGTTATTCAAGTTTATACGCCTAGCTCATTCCAGAACCAGGTGAAAGCAAGAAAAAAGCAATACAATGAAGTCAATAAAATAAGGGGAAGGAGAGACGGGTCTCCACAGGTTTCGGCACCTGACCTGCTATATTTGGGATAAGCAGGACTGGACACACCTCCACCGAAACTGGCAGGGCAAATTACTGTAAATCAACAGAGAAGAAACCCCACATTCCCTCAAACTGATGATGTGACAAGCGAATAACCAAGCTCAGAGACCACCAATGACTCCCAAGTCAAAAATATCTTCACAAAAACAGCCAGCTTTTCGATACAGCAACAAAACTTAGTAAATAGAATAGAGCTGGAAGGGACCTTGGAGGTCTTCTAGTCTAGTCCCCTGCTCAAGCAGGAGAACCTGTACTATAACATTTCAGATATTGTACAATGCGAGAGCGGATTTCTCCATGCTGGAGTTGCAAATTGGTCTCCAGAAGATAAACCAGAGATGACCGTCTTTCACTATCTTTAGCATCTCAACCTATCACTGTTCAGATATTAACATATTATTAACTTACTAACATTGTTAACATATCATTATTCAAACAGTTGGACAGACCAGAGGTGGGGAACGATGGCCCTTTATATGACTTGTGCACTTCAACTCCCAGAATCCCTGAGCCAACATGGCTGGCTCAGGAATTCTGGGAGTTGAAGTCCACAGGTCATAAAGGAGACATTGTTCAGAACATGGCTAATTGGGGAATTCTGGGAGTTGAAGTCCACAAGTTATATAAAGGGCCATCATTCCC